AAGCATTAGCAGTGTTTGCAGCTGAACTTTAGTCTGTTCTTGAACTCAGATTTTCTGTGATACAACAACCAGAATGTCATTGCTATCAGCTCCGTCTCTGTCTACTTTTCCAGTATTTCCAGATATATGTACTGCCATTTCTATGCAAATATATGACTATTTCTGAGTCATCCTTCTTGAAAAATTCCCTGATGATTCCTTTCCTGCTGCTCTGGATTCTTTTTGACCTTTCAAATTTCTTCCCCCTTTCTCATGCACAATGCATTGTTTTAGCTCATTCTTCCAACAGCCTTAGTAGCTCCTCCGTCACATCTGAACTGTAGAAAAATTACCCTCCACCAATTTACAGCTGGAACAACTGATGTGACTTGACTGAGTTTTTTTAGCTGCAGGCAGTATACTTTTCACTTATATCAGTCTCACTTTTCTAGCACACACAGCTTCAGCCACGCTGGTGCAAAAGCCTTTCCTTCACTTGGGTTTTGATGACTAAAGAAGTCCACTGTTTCATCTCCCCATGGAATTGCTAACTCTTGCTTATGATCCTTCCTGCTTTTAGGATCATTCCTATGGATGGAATTGGCTGTGGAAACTGAGATCAGATCCTGGCTATCAGAGGAAACCAAGGTTCAGAGAATGCCACAAGGCAGAAAACCTTTCTTAATACCCTGTAACAAATTAAGAATTTAAGTAAAATACGACCAAAGCCACAAAAATGACCATTTGCCTGAGGCAGAGATGAGGAAAGGCTGGTAGAATGACCAGTGCCCTACATCCATTCAAAAAGCTGCGCAGTTGTAAAAAAAGCTGAGCATCTGCAGTAACTATGGGATATTTTACAGGAAAGAGTATTCAAAACAAAGTTTAAATCTATCATATGTCCCACTGGAGGGCAATAACAATAAAAGAGCCGTTGTGTCCCAAGACCCTCTCGTCACTGCAGATTTATGGCTGCTACTGCGTGAATAAGACCATCTTTCAGAAACTTACCAGCACTCTTACCACCACTCTAATTCTATTCATCTTTCAAGAAAGCATGTAGTGAAAATAGAAACAGAGCTCTACTGTGATACTTGTCTGATAATTTCTATCAACTTTAATACCTTTAAAGAAGTTGATAACAAGCTAAAAAGTATGCATTGGGCAATTTCCCAGGTCAGCTGAAATGAAGTGAGGAGACTTCTGTTACTAATTAAGATTTTCTAGGTTGTCATTTTAATTATACAGATTTACTAACTACTTTCTCTTGAATGAAACGTACACAAGTTCATCATGCACATATCTTGCACTGTGGCCCAGAAAATGGTATTGACTTTCATATCACTAAGTGTATTGAACTTTAAAATCACTTAAAACTCCTGCTGTGAAGCGAGTTCTCAGTCCTCAGGATTACTCTGAATAGCCATGCCATCCTACCAGTCTTTCGTGCATTTTGACCTGAACTGCATCGCTGATGTTAGATTAGCTAAAAATTAACAACAAAAAAGGGACAATTTCATCTGATGTTAAATTTTGTTTTGCTCATGTTTCCCTCCACCATTACCCAGAACGGATAGTATACCAGAACGCCAAAGGAAAATTTTTGATGGGGAGGAAGAAGGGATTGCAATTTTCCTGGAGGACTCAATAAACCATGCATGTCTGCAAATTCTTTCAGGTATCTGGGTGTTGAAAGCCTTGCTTGAACTAGGGAATTTTTCTGAAAACTTTCCATAGGAACCAACATCATTTCTGGTGGCAGGCATGCACATAAAGCTTTAGGCAAATTCCAGGATTTTTGCCAGTGTAGATTGAACTGGCATTATTGGCAAAGTGATAAAAAGAACCCACATGTTAGAAGCTTGCTAGTTTTCGAGACAGTTTAAACAAGGTTGCTGGGTGAAGTTAAAACTTTTGCTGAAGATACACTTAGAAGTCTTTACATAGCACTGAAATCTGGTAAAAGCATCACTAGAGCTTTTGTGACTCAGAGAACCCCACAGTAATATACTACAGAGAAAGGTATTGCATAAAAAATAGATGAGATTCATAGAGGACACAGAACAGTGCAGCTGGGAATGAAGAACTCCAAACGAAATCTAGATGCAATGATGGGTGGAGAAAAAGCTTTCAATATGTTTGTAAAAATTGTTTTTAGAGGAATGCCTTTGAATTATGAAAGTATGAAAGCATGAATAGTATGTTCAGTTTGTATTGCCTCACAGATGTCCTATGTAAGTGCTTAGCACATCCAGTTAAGTCAAGTCTAAGCAGACTTCTTTTCTCAAAGCAGAAAAAAATGCTATTCACCTTTCATTAGAAGGTATTAGGCAGGGGGGTACTGATGACAGCTAAAATCCTCCCGCTAAACCCCTACCCTGTGAAGTTTTGGATAGTTCAAAGATTTGTAATTAATTTAATACTTCAAATCTGAATGTTAGATTTTGCCAGCTAGAAGATTTGGACCAGACACTCAGCATGCAACCTTCCACACACTGCTTCTCCTGCGAATGTGTGAGAAACTGCATTTGCAAAAAGTTGATTCATTTTCCACATTCATTCAGTCCAAACAGTCCTTCTGCTACTCAAAATGCCAACAATACTGCTAACTATTGCCAGAACGAGGGAAATAAATAGATAAAAAGTTTCCATGCGCTAAGCCTAAAGAGGCAACTAATTGCAGGCCCTCATTATACTTCTGGTATTCATTTTATCTTTTCTTTCAGGCTGATATTTGCCCTTTGCCAAAAATTTTGATGTAAATACTCCTGGAGTAATTCCTCTTGGTGTGCTCTTGTACAATTATTTTTAGTGGCATTCACTGTCATATAGTAAGGACAGTCATCAACCATTAATCAGCTATGCTTCACTGAAAGCGGTTTTGTCAGGAAAAAATTATAATCTTCATTTTATACTGGAGAAGCAGAGCAGCTCACACACAGCACACACACTGCACAGCTGAGACGACATCCTCACGCTCCTAACCACTATTGTTCTGTTTCACCTACCCTTTTCCTGACCAAAAGAAAATATAAAGATTCCAGAAGTTACCACAGATTTCCTTTGGTTTTGTGTCTGGGTTGTTGATTTTTGTATTCTTTAACAAAGACACTTTTGAAAGTAATCATTTGTTATTTGGCTTTCTGTGAAGATACTTCCAAAAAGCCAATCCCTTTCTGTTACTGCCTGTACCCTGGGACAGCATAGCTGTACTTTTAAATGACTCTCCCTCCCCTCAAGGTCTTTATATCAACAACTTTGCCTTGTTATGTCTTATATAAAACAGAAATTACTTCCTGACATCTGTCCAGCAGTTATTTTTTTCTCTCTTCCCTCCCATGTGCCATGGAGCCATCTGTCTTAACATTTATGCATATGCCATTTAAAATCATTGGGGAAAATATGGAAAATATACATAGTATAAATTCCAGAGACAAATTACATATTTGACCCAGAACTGTATTAAAAAAAGAAAACAGCTTAGGCTAAAAAAAAAGCAGCTACATAGAGCTTCTTTCTCATCGGTAACATGAGAGATGAAACTAAAAGACAGGATCCATTGCATCTTGCATTTTTCAGTGATCTGTGGCTCCGAGACATTAATATTTATGTCTCTTGTTTGATCGCCTAGCCCCTGCTTCACTGACTTTTGTTTTGAAATATGCAAACAAAAATTCAAAGAAACAGATTTTGTGATTTGAGCAAATCACTGAGGAAAAAATGCAAGATTTTTATTATAGTAAAGTTTCTAACCCAATTGTTAATACATTTAAGTAACCAAAGCAATTAAACATGTTCTGTTTATTGTATTTACTGGATGCATTTAGTGGAGCAAAGCAAAATATAAACTGCCATACACTTCTACATTCTAGAAATTTGAGTGTTAGCTGCAGGTACAAATAGTCAAAGAACAATTATGAGAACTTTTCAGAAGCTAAAGAGGTGAAAACCATCTCGAACATGGACTGTTTTGTTCTGCTCTGATAATGCTTACCTAGCCTAAAGCCAGTACTCCTGGTTTGTAAAGTGATTACCCTTGGCAAGAGATACATAGTCCCATAGCTCCTTAAACCATCCTTTTTCTCTTGGCTAGGACAACTTTTTCTCTGGTGCTCTCGAGCAATCTGAAAGCCTACAATAATTTTTAGGTGACACTTACTTGAACTTGCTTGATCAAATTTGGCACAAGACCACTCCAGAGGCAAAGGAACAAGTAAATAAATTGGCTTTAGGGCACCTTTCTATGCATGCTTGCTGGGCTGCCCTCAAAAGCTTTTTTTTTTGGCAAGGCCACATAAGAGGCTCAAGAGGTTCAGAATACTCAAATAAATGTTTCTCATTTATGAGCGGCTATGGCCTGATTTCTGCTGCTGTGCAGGGGAATCAGTGAAACACAGGACTGGTCCTTTCTGTGGTTATATTTGCTCCTTCTCTGATATGCTGGAGATCTAGCTCTGTGATCTTGCTGTTTTTATCCTTAATCTTCTGAGGAAGAACGTTTGGCAGGGCAGTAGAGAGGGATCTTCTATGCAAAGTCAAAGGCTATTGACAATTAGAACAAACTCCTGTGTCATATCTTTATAATGTGCCATGATTGCAAGTAAGCTTTTTATCAAGGGAAAAACATAAAAATCATAAAAATAAGGCCTCTAGTTGGGATGACAACCAATTTTTCCAGCAACATTTTTCCCCCCAGGAAAATTTTTCCCATCTCACTAACACTTAAGAGACATGTGTTGATCACGGGATGTTATCAAGGGCAACTTGTTTTCTCAACTTTATAATGCTTAATGAGGCAAAATGCAATCTGGAGGGAAGAAACAACCATTTCAAATCCAGTTATTTGCAATATGCAGGGGCTAAGCATAAACTCTTTTCCACACCGTACATCCTCATTATGAGAAAAAGTCTAAATTACACTATAAGCTGAATTACAGAATAAGAAATAGTGCGAGGAATATTTACCCACTCTATTTTACTCATTTAGAGCCTGGTCTCTTTTAAAGTTAGAACTGACTGACCTTGCAGGACAAGGATCCAGATTACACTCCTGAAGTTTTGGCTTTGGCTTGATATTTTCAGGATAATAGTGACAGTATTGATCAGCTACTACCCGGTTGCTTCTCAGATCAAAACATTCAGCAGATGTCAGTTGATAACCTGCAATAGCCAATGGGAGAAAAAATATGGGATTTGTTGTTCTTCCTCTCTCTCTTTGGAATACATTTAAGTCCTGGTTTTATAGAAAGCTTACTGAAAACATCAGTACCTTTGGACATAACAGCATTGTTTTATAGCCCAGGTTAAAACAGTAATTTACAAAAGAACTGGATGCCCTATAAATCTTCAGAACTGACTCACCACCAGCTCTACAAAATATGTCTAAATGTGATCAGCAGGCTTGAAGAGTCTGCATATATACTGGTAACCAACAAAAGTATCTATGCAGCAGAAATTTTTGAACATTGCAGTGACACAGGAGCATATAATTCAGAATTCACATAGCTGTTGCTAGTACTTAACATACTTAACAGCATCATAATAGATGCTGCATATTAACACAGTAAAAGGGAGTCCCGACCTGATAGGATTACAATTGAATCACATGACTCAGGAAAAAAATGATTACATGTTAGGACTAATCTTCTAAGGCCACGTTCACAAAAAAACGTGTCCAGAGAATTCACAGATCCACGCAGGACACATCATTAGATATCAGAAGCCCTGCCTCTGTGTGTGTGGTGGAGAATGAAATCTCTCACACTTCAAGCTTCTAACATGTAAATGTTTATCCTGCCTTTCGGCTAGAAAGAATCTTTCTTTATCTACCTCTCCTACCACGGTCCATCACAAGAGCAATGCCTGTGCCCACACCCTCTCTTTCATAAAAGAAAGGCTTCTCCAAAAGGGTCTGTCACACTTTTTTTCACAGCTTTACCAGCACAGATTTATTCCCTCTTGTATCGCATTAAATTACCATTGCCCAGATGAGAGGTAGGAAAAAATAAGTAGAAAGTCAAAGTAGTAAATTTGCTTGATTTCCCAGGAAAAATCATCACACACAAAACTAAGTCACAGTAACATCGTTATGTACTATTACCTTTTGCTGGCAAAAGCAGCTTTTCTTTCCCCTTTTTATACACGTTCTTGCCATTAATGGAACTTAAATTGGTAATACTGAAGAAAAAGATGAGCAGTCACTGATTTTTATGACTTCTGCATTTCATGAGCGTCAGTAAAACAATATCTGCCCTGACCCAGCCTGTCAGAAGTGGGCTAAAATTTAATGCAAAATCTTGCATGTATCCTAGTAAGTGGTATCTTCTTCAGACACCCTCAAAATGCTAAACAGGAACTAGCAGACATTTAAGAAACATGACTTTTCCTGTCTTAAATCAGATGTAGTAAGAAACAAAAGATAATCAATATGGTCAAACACAAACTTAGGCGCCTAAAGGAGAAAAAGAAACCAAAGGCCAGGATTTATTAGATAGCGAGACTCTCACACAGCTTCATTTCCGAAGAGTAAAATTACTGATTGGGAGCATGGTGGAACGGAGAAGGGAGACATTTTGTGATGCCAAAACAGGCCCAAATCCCATCACGCCCAGGGCTGAAAGTCCTTGTGTTTACTAGCTATAGCATTAAATGCAGCCATGCATATTTCAGACACTAAGTACAAAATTTGCTAGGCTGTTAAAAAAACCACAGGCAACACCACTGTTACTACATCCCTCCTCTCATTTAGATGTAGCTATGCTCATGTTCAAATTTTGCCCATATTAAAGGCCCAAATCCCAACTCTAGGAGTTGAGACAGATCCTTTATGCAGATGACTGCTTATGGAATACAGTGGTAATTCATTACCTCCTCCACAGGATGCTGAACAAGGAAAAAAATCAGTTTCCCTCCATCGGTGAATGATTGGCTGATAGAAGATAAACTGAACTGAACTGTCGGCAGCACCAGCGTAACGAATCTGAAAAAGATGTAATGCCAAAGGATGAACCTGACATAAATACCAGGTAGAAACATTCTGCCATAAGCATCCTGCAGATACCAGACACTACATGAAATTCCAGAGGTAGACTGTAACAGGAAAATGAGACGCACATAACACAGCATAGGCTGGTGGCAGTAATACCAAAACCCTCACTAGAAATCACAGTGCAATAAATTGCTGGGGGCATGGTCACTGGTGTTTTACAGATGGTGTTCTGAAACAATGATGAGATGAATACTGAATAATTTTATGGAGACCAAGGATATGGGCTAGTTTTTGTTCCATCAGAAGACCACCTACCTACTGTCTCTCCCTGCTGCATTCAAATGGATGTTAGATCCTTAACATTCCCCAAGCACCATGTATACTATTAGACAGGCAAGGATAAAAAATAGGAGGCTGTGCTGTAAGAAATATAAAGTACAAAAGTTCTAATTCAAGATTTTCTTATTTCTGAGGTGAGGTCTCTCCCTCATTCTTCTCTGTGGTACCCAGAGCCTTTGTTCACTTCGTTTTGGCTCCAAAACACCTTTCTTTCAGAGGCCTGGACTCTTCTTGGCTGCAGTTAAGGGAATGTACAGAAAGTGCCCTTGAGAGTGAGTAAATGCCAGTCATTTTTAAGCCATTTGAGCTTCACTACACTTTGGGTACTCTGCACGCTGAATGGATTTCCTAGTCTAAGTTAGACTTTGTAGTGCAAGCAGCGCTATATGGAGAGACCTTTGCTCTTCTAAAGTAGGTCCATTTACACCTGGCCCAAGAAGAAAAGCCCTCCTGTTTGTACCTGGCCCCGGAAAAAAGCTCTACCGTTTAATATAGTTATGGAGACTTCAAAATCTCCATGAGGGGGGAGTCCTTGTTCTTACTCCAACCCCTTCCACGAGCACCTGCCAAGGGAAGATCAAGAATGCTGCTATAAGCCTCTCCTTGTTGATTGTTCTTCCTAGGGCATGACGCATTGGTGTTGCCTCGGCATCTCTGCATCGGTGCCATGATGCACATGACAGAATGGAAAATTGAAAAGTCACAACCAGGAAAGATGCACCCTTCTCCAAGTCCTACTCCAAGTACTACTACCATGAAACCAAGTACTCCTGCTGTGAAAAGTGATTGTCCCTGCCCTTTTTTCAGACCAGCTTAAAGTGTTTCAATACTGCCTTCTTCTTCCCTTCCCACATTTTCAAAAAGATGCCCCTGTTTTAGAAATACCATTTTTCAACCTGTCCTTCCTTTTCTCTTTCTCAACATTGGGAGACACCATCAAAGAGGAAATCCTAGACCAAAAAACAGAAACAAAAATAAGACAAATTGAGTTGAACAGAGCAATCTGATTGTTTGTTGTGTTTTCCCCAGTATATAGACAAGAAACATGATTACAAATCATAGAAAATCTTGAAGAGGAGGAGGAAGGCAAAGATGTCAGCGGATATGTTCAAGTCTGTAAGAGATCTGGCCCTCCGAGACTAAGGCTGCCTTTCTCTAATTAGAGTAAGCAGTGATGTAAATTCCCAAAAGGAAAAAAAGTACAGCTGTAGAAATACAGCTTCTTCAGCAAATGGGAGGCCTCTTGCACGGATTAGTATCATTTGGGTCTATGTGTCAGAAACAGGATATCTAATTCCTCATGCAGGGATGGTGCATTAATCATACATTTCAGAAAGATCTTTCTTAGCTCATGAAAGCCTCACACACTCCTGGGAAAATGTTCTATTGTGCTGGAAGCCATTCAGGGAGTTGTCCGATTGGAACGTGCAGAAAAAGAATTCACTCGGGAGAAATCTGCTTTTCCTCTTTAGTTTTAAAAGGACTATTAGTGATTCTGAAAACCAAAAGATCTACTCAGCACTGTAGTCTTTGGTGAATCATGATGAACACATCAAGAGCTCACACAGAGCCTACTATAAAAGGAAGGAGAGGAAAAAGAATTCACATTAAAAATCAGGAAGACACAAGAACTCCTCTCCCTACAGACAATTCCTGTGTGTCTGCAGAATTATCTGTCTGTTTCGACAGAGAGAAAAGACAGATGCAGATCTTCTCCAGCCTAAAGCGGAAGTAACTCATATAGCCATGAAAACATCATAGGTGCAGAAGAATAACAAGGAGCCACCGCCATGAGCTAATATGATACAAAACAAGTAGAGCGAAATAAGCAGGCACAGTACTGTTTATTTTTTTAAGGACTACTCTAAGCACAGGAAGAACCAATACACGGTGATTCCATCCAGCAAAAATGTTTTTCTGATTTTGTTTGACAGTTTGTTAAAGCTAAGATCTTGATCCAGGAGATCATCAGCAGCTGCTTGAGCCTTGCAAGATTCAGAAAGGGAGGCATGATACCTAAATACTTAAAGAAATATACTAGTTTTGCTGCATAGGGCCAACTTACACCTACAGAAATATTCACATCTGCAGTGTGGTGAAATTTCTGACCCTTGCAGCGCTTGGCAATCTCCTCTCCAACATTCTGCTAGCTATGAGAAATGCCAGCGCTTCAAAGACATAGTCAATACTTGACAGTCTTTCACAATAGTCCCTAGAAGAGGTCCTCTAACTAATATTGAGTTTTGCATCCTTAGGTCACCAAAATGGAGAAAATAGCAATTGTTCACTTTCCTCGTAGGTAAAATCCTATCTATGTATGTGTAACAAGAGATGGCAATGACAGTTCAGCCCTGCTCTGCGCAACCCCCCAGGGAGCATCCCTGAGTTCCTCTAGGTCTCTGTGGAGTTTGGAGCATTCAGAACAGCAGAGCAGTACTCCCCATTTTGTAGCTAAAAAAAGGCCCAAAAGGAGATCTACAGGCTCACAAAGAGTTGTTTAAAATCAGAGTCCTCAGACTATCCACCAAAGATTAACTGTCCTGTCAAAAGTGACTGCTGCCTGGAGATTTCTTTCTTTATTGTTTTTTTTTTTTTGGTTAGAAAGACAAAATTGACAAATTGTATCTTACAGACTGCTTTTTTAAAGGTGCTTTTACAAATGGCTGTCTAGAATGGTGCAGATGTGATGAAGGCACAGGCTGGTGTTCAGCTGCGGTTTGGTATTGGGTAAAATACAATGCTGATGCTGGGAATATCCACAGACAGTTGAATGAAAACAACAAACCTGATAACTGGAATATAAAAGCAGCATATTGTTTTTGAATGATCTGATCTGTTCTGGGGCCATTAGATTGCAACATCCAATTTCCCCTTAGCACTGTACTAAGCTTTTCCTATGGCCCTTAGATTGAATATGTTCACATTAGAAAAAACAACAAAAAACAAAAAAACAACTCTGCTTGATTTTGGCAGCATGTGCTTGAACCTTTTGTGACTGCTAAAGAGCACAATAGCCTAGCCTACCAAACTGCACTAAGTTTACTTTGACAGTTGTAGAAGTTAAGCACCAGTCTGTATTCATCCATTTTTTTCCTGTACACCAAGGAGTTATCAATGTTAATCATAGGGTTAAATTACAATAGGCGTACGAAATAAAATGTTCTTATTTTATGAAACTACCTTGGGTTGGAAGAGGAGGACAGAACTCATTTCTTTTGCATGTGTGTGTTTAAAGAGAATCTTTACTGCATGCTATCATTTGTCTTACGAAGTTTTGCTGGTATGTTATGATCTAACGCAGTCACTACTATGCCTATTAAAAAAGTTCTAACAGTTTTTCTACATCATTTTTATAGATGCTTTCGACAAGTGCTAAATTTTGAATCATCAGGTTTGATTTATTAATGCTAAGTTCAATGTTAAAGCCTTATACTAAGTAATACAAAAAGAAATTGGGGATGACACTGTAGGCAACTATCCTCATGTGGCATATGTAATTTTGTGCTTTCCATTTCATGTCAGTAAAAACAAAGTTTTTGTAAAATGTTTTTCTTCCTCTACTTAGAGTGTTTTACTATCCCTATTTGTATGTAGTGATGCCTTACATTGAAAGAGAACAAGGATGTGCAAGAAGTTTGCTGCTGTTTGTAATTTGTTCATGAAGCAGAAGTAGGAGGAAGATATGTTGTGCAAAATTAATTTTACAGGTTTGTTTCAACGAACAAAGAAATATAAGAAATTGTAAACCACTAGAGAGGCTGACGGCTTCCAAGTGTACTGTCTAAACCAGAACCATGCTATGATTCCTTTGAATTTGCCTTTTAATTCCCTTGCAGCTCTGGGGGGAGCTTTGCCTTTGAGCTCGAGGCAACATGTCTACTGTTCGCTGTTGGATTCATATCTCTTGAACGTTACAGTCCTATGTTGGGTCAGCAGGCTTCTAGGATTATTTTTAAATGAAAGACAGAGGCACGTCCTCCATCCAACCTCTAAATCAGCCAGAGAAATCATGAGGAAATTACACTGTATATCACCAGTTTACCAGGGACTATGCAAAACGTCCCTGAATTAAACCTGCTCACCAACAAACAAGACCAAATTTTGATAGAGCTGTGTTCCTTTAGATCACCAGAATGACTACCAAAGTAATTAGACTAAATTTCTCACAAGGTCAAAACAGAAAGCTAGAAGGTTCCAATCTTTTCTTAAGTCCCATTACTCTCCCCAAAGGAAGAACCGTACTGAAAATCAGTGCAATGAATTGGCTGGGACAGCTGGCAGCAGAGAAACCCGTTATATCAACTACAAGAGGTATTATAAACTGCACAAAGCCAACTATTAAAGGCAACAGAAGCAGAAGCTTCTGAAACCAGGAGGATAGCCACAGAACCAAACGCAATCCCAAATACAACAATGAACAGTGAACAACAGTGAAACGCCACGCTGCATCTGTTCTACAGACACCACCCATTAATACCCTCCTCATCTACAGAGAGACAATTTCACCATCAGTGACGTGCTTCCAAAATAAGAGAATGTACCTCTGAGCAAGCTGCGCTAGTCCTTTGTACAGACTTACTACCACACAAAAAGCAATAGCCCTGA